CCCCCTTGCAGCCTACAGGGCTCCCAGACTGTTCATCACTCTTGGAACTGAAAAGTGGAAAGCAATGATCCTAAGATTACCACCATTTTGTTGAGTATGAGGACAGTTGGGTAAAGAATTCAGTACAAGAGACTGTGCCCCAACGTGTATTCGCACACACACGCACATGTTCACACACTCCTCTGCAGCTGAAGGAGTGTCACTCAGTGGGTGAAGCTTCCCAGAGGGTTATGGAGGGACCACCTGGCCTTATATGCCTTCAGACCTTTGATCTTTACTCATCTCCCTTCTTCCTGGCATCTTAGAACAAAGGATAAGAGAGGAGGAAAGCAGATAAAATGTGAGTGCTATCTCAACCTTGGAATGCCTGTCTCTGACAGTCCCTCTTCTAAAATCATGCAGCGAAGTACAGAAACTAGGAAACACTCTGGAGAAAGGATGGAAGAAGAGAAATATATTCCTTTCCACTTACTTGGCTTTCTCAGTTAGTCCCCACTAGAAAACGTGTCTGCATTCAGTTTAGTTAACCTATTGTAGACACCTGTGATGTATTGGCAGGTGTCCCTGGGTGATTCAAAAAGTTAAAGTTAAAGTTCGAGTCCACCTAGAGATGTCTCAGACGACAGCCCAGACAGCTTACTTCCAAACATTTACAGACATTGAAAACTCTATGGTGTCCAATTCAACTCTGAAACACATGTGTTCACCATGATTTGGAATCAACTCAATATGTCACTGGGTTTACACACCTGGCATTGTAGTTTCAAGAAAAGGTGTGCACAGGCACTTTCCCTCCGAGAATTCAGTCTGATAAATGGTATTAGGGCCCAGACTGACATTCCACCACTCTAGGGGCCTGGTGTCCTACTTTCTTCCGAAAGTGGACTCTTCTACTAAAACCCAACCTTAAATCTCTTAACATGTAGATTGTTGGCATTTTTGTCTCACATATGACCTATGAGTTTGGTACTTTTCCCAATGGACCCTAATGTTTCCCTTCTCAGATGAACAAATGTTTCACAGCCTTGGGAAATAAGAGTAATCACTGTTTGTTTTGTTGTTGCTTTTGTTTTGATTTTATTTCAATTAAAAGGCACAAGTCATAGTTTTTCAAAAAACTGTTACAAACCTATTCTCTGGTGTCTGCTTGGCATTAGTATCATGAGATATGTTGATTGGGAAGATACTGTTACGGTCATATGTTAAATATGGAAACTTGCCTGTGGTTATCTATGACCATGTAGATTCCAGAATTTTAATATGAGCAGTAAATAATTTCAAATCTCTGGGGTAATAATTAAATATTCAACAAATTGTTTGATATTAGAAAAGGCTCCACATTTCAAAACCATTAAAAAAGTGGTGCTGTAAGATAAGCCCTGGACTGCTAATGGTCAGTTTGAACTGCAAGATCAGCGATTCAAACCCACCAGGTCCTTGGAAACCCTATACAGAGGTGTCATAAGTTGGAACCAACTCAATGGTAGTGCTTCACAACAACAACAACAACAATACACACACACACACATACACATATATATATATATGGAGCTCTGGTAGCATACGGGTTACAAGTCAGGCTACCAACCTCAACGTCAGCAGTTCGAAACTACCAGCGGTTCCGCAGGAGAAAGATGAAGCATTCTGCTCCCGTAAAGATTTACAGCCTCGAAAACCCTGTACAGGGTTACTATGAGTTGGAACTGACTCCACAGTACTTAACAATAACAACAACAACAAATACATATATACACACACATAATATATATATATATATATATATATATAATCTTGGTGTGGCACTGCAGGATAATATACTAGACTAAAAGGTCAGTTTGAACTGCAAGGTCAGCAATTCAAACCCATCAGTCGCTTCTTGGAAACCCTATACAGGGTCAATATGGGTCAGAACCAGCTCAACGGCACTTATGTTGTCATTGTTATTAAGTACCATTGAGCTGGTTCCATATACATGTTGTTAGACTGTTAAGTGCTGTCAAGTCAGTTCTGACACATATCAATCGCCAACGTTGCAGATGAAACCGACTTTGCAGTCTAGTGCATTATCCCACAGCAACACACCAGGACTCGCTTTGGGTTAATGCGCCAGACTGTAAAGCCCTTTGAACTGCAAGGTCCGCGGTTCAAGCTCACCAGCCGCTCCTCGAAAACCCTATACAGGGTCGCTATGGGTCAGAACCGACTCGACAGCACTTAACAAAAATAGCGACATATAATTATATATATATTATTTGTTGTTAAGTTATATATATAATTATAAATACACACAATGCACAAATATATATGATGTGTATACTTACATAGGTCTCTCAAAGAAGGCAATGTAAGAGATGTTGCCTGCCTGGTCTCCCTGAAGTGCCCTCCCAATCCCTCTGAGTGCTTGTCAGAGCAAAGACCAGTCCCCTTAGCGTTATACTCTCCAGCTCAGGTCCAGGTTCACAGAGACTGAGTATGCCCAACACAACATGAACATGAGAAGACTATTTACTTTCCATGGGCCAGACCCTGTGCTAGGCACCAGGTACACAAACAGCAATACAGCAGGGTCTCGCCATGAAGGTAGGAAATGAAGGCGGGAGGAGTCTGTAGAGCCCGGTTCAGGAGGAGGGGCTCCCACCTCCCTCTAGCCTGAAGGATCTGTTTAGGTTGTTCTCAGAACACCCAGTCCTACAGGCCACAGTCAGCCAACACAGGAGCCAGGAGGGAAGTGGGGAGTGGTAAGGAGTGGGAAACCGGATTCCTTACCCTTTTCTCTCTTATTCCTTCCTGATGGCAAAACTCAGTCCTCCTAAACCCACAGCAAATGTGGCAAGAGCAGCAATTGCTGAGTGAGCTCCATTCCTGTTTCTAGAAGGTCCTTCCCCTTTCATGATCCTTAGATTGACAAGACCATAGTTCCCTGAGTCTGATCCACACATCGCCACAGCAGGTAATGTCCAGAGAATGGACCTGGGTCCTTTGACCATGTCCTCCAACTCATCAGACTGGGCCTGAAGAAACTTCCCTACTTGTTTTGACATGGTGACCTTCTCAGATAGAGCAGGCACAGAACTCCCTGTCATTCCAATCTCCCAGAGCTGATGCTCTGAAGGGCTACAAATATAGAAGTACTAGTGATGTCCTGGAGTCCAGGTGTAGTGTTGTAGGATAAGCATTGGACCACTAATTGCAAGGTTGGCAGTTCAAACTCACCAGCTGCTCCTTGGGAAGCCTATACAGGGTCACTATGAGTTGGAGTCGTCAACTCAGTGGCACTTAACAACAGCAGTGATATCCTACATCTGAGTCCATGTGTCACTTTCCAAAGCCCCATTCCATGTAAAGCCCAAAGCTGCCTGACAGGATGGAGGGCAAGTAGTTAGTATTATCCGCTAGGGACAGATGGCAAACAGATATCTATCCATCAAGTGATTTGCTCAGCGCTAAAAGAGTGGAAGAGGCAGGCAGAGCCCGGGACGCCTTCCACCTGGTCAGCGCTCTTCTATGCTGCACTAGTAGGAGAAGCCCATGTAGAAGGGGAGGTCCAGGTACAACCAAGGGACCTCGAGACTTCAGATCTCTGAAGACACCCTGATAGCACCACCCTATCCTTTCCAGCTAAAGGTAAAGCACCTTGTTCCCTCACCCCACCACGTTACCTTTCCCTGTGCACACACACACACACAAACATACACTAATCCAAGACAAGCCTTCTGAGGCTTCTTTGGACAAATATAGGAAAAATAGGTAAGAAGAAAGAAAGGAGGAGCCTGCTATCCAGCCTTCATGGAATTCTGACTTGTTTCCTTTGCTTCTCCTACTTCTTCCTCTTTCAAACTGAAGTCTCCAACCATCAGTGCATATAACTGAAAGAAACTTATGGTTATCCTTTGTGCATCAGAGTAGAACTGAGGTAACTCTACAGGGTTTCCAAAGGCTGATATTTTAAGAAGTAGATAGCCAGGCCTTTCTTCTGAATTGTGCACCACCCAGGGACTCATAAAAAAAAACAGCTTTGAAGACTATTTAAGCCGACCTTTCATTTTACCCACTGGGGGCAGTGAAGAGCAGGGTAAGGAGCCTGGCATTGCTGTCTGGCAGGTCTGGGTTCAAATCCTGTGCCCTCACACCCACGTCACATCTCTGCCTTGGGTCCCTCATCTATGAAACAGAGATAATTAACAAAGGGCAGGGGCTCTTTGCCTGGCACATGACAGCTGTTAGCAAGAACCGACTACTATTAATGCCCCTCTCCCCCAGCAGTGGGACAGTCAAGGAGGTGGAGCTACAAACCTGGGAACCTAGAAGGAGTCTGGATCACATCCTGTGACCCTATCTGTCCTACAGGGAGCCAGCCTCATCAAGGGGCAGGCCTGGACCATGTCATGGAGAATAGGAAGACAGCTTTGAGGCTAGTTGGCTTACCCTTCAATTTTACTTGGGGAAACGGAGACCCCGAGAGCTGAGATGGAGTCCCAAGTCAGCAACCAGAAGTCTTGTTGGGGGGAACCCAATTATTTCTCAACCCGTGTATTCTGGAGTAGCCAATTCATCCACGTCACTGTGCACGCTGATGAAAGCCGCAGCTCTGGGTCTCTGCACACCAAGCAACTGTTCCCCCAGGAAATTGACATTTTTTATTAGGAGAAGCTGAAAAAAATATTTTAAAAGAGAAAGGCCCATCCTAAAAATAGCCATATGCAGAAGTTTGCCCTAAACCAACCATTTTGCTTACGATGCAAAAATTGACAATTTTAAGAGTAAGGTCAACAAATGCAAAGTCGAGGGGAGGGAGGAGTGTCAGTCAGAAAATAAAAGAAAAAAAGAAAAACACCAGTTGCCAGGAAATCTGACTGTGGCTTTTTTATGAATGGGGAGGCCCCACTCAACTCTCAACCTAAGTATAAAAGGGGGCCTGAGGTGAAGATCTACACTAGAGGGGCTTGCTCTTGCAAAACCAAACCACAAGGCAAACTCGAAGAAGGAGGCAGGGCTACACCATGCTCCGCTCAGCACTGCTATACTGCCTGGTCTTCATGGCTGGGGTGGTGACCAGCCGGGATCAGGGCACCCAGTCTGAGTATAGCTGTACCTACTTCCCAGACAGCCTGCCCCACATGCTCCGAGAGCTCCGAGAGACCTTCAACAGAGTGAAGTCTTTCTTTGTGAGTATGAACGCCCCTGTGCTTCCTCTATTGTAGGCACTGCCTGAACTAGGCATTTCTGCAGCCATGCCTTCCAAATTCAAATTCTTAGTTCAGGCCAAGGGTTCGGTTAATTATGCTAAGCCCAGATGCTATGTTCACTGTACAGGTAAAGTTGCCTGAAAGGCAAAAAGGTATGGACTATCCTATACTCAGAAACTTTTGTAAAACTCCACTGGAACTCAGATTATTGGCTGGGAAAAACCAAGAAGGATCTGATTAGGGGTGAAAATACCTCATATACACTGTGGCAAGGAAACAAATTGCCTCTTCTTAGAAAGGCTATTACCTTCTAAGGTTTTAGGAAGCTCGATGCAAGGGAGAAGGCTAATTTAGCAGAAACTTCTTCCTAGAGGTCTCCAAGCCTGAACTGGATGCCCACAGTTGAGAGATAGAAAAGCAAAGTGCAGAAAGAACCAGGACTAAGACAAGTTTCTGCTTTCACTTCAGAATCGGCCATATTTTTAATAACTTGATCCCAAGGAGGGGGGAACCTGGTTAAACTAATAATTCTAGCACCTTTGAATTCTGTTTACCACTCTCCCTTCAGTTTTTTAAGCCAGAGCTGCATTGATTGAAAATCAAAAACTCTATAAAGAAGATCCAAAAGATACCTATTTCAGGCATTTCCCCAAATCTAGGGTTCACTCTGTTTTTTGTTCTTGCAGCAAACGAAGGATCAGCTGAACAACAAGTTGCTAAATGACTCTTTGCTTAATGACTTTCAGGTAAGAGCAGGGAGTGAGTGGGTGGGTGTGGGGTATGTGGAGTGATTCAGGAAAGGGAGAGTCTACTTCGAGACTATGGGGCTTGCTTCCTTCGCTTTGAAAAGGAGAAGTGGGAAGATCTTAACTCAGCACATAGGCAGAAACTGGAGGGTTACAGTGCTGTGAGCAGGCAGCTGGTCAAAGAGGATCCCTAGGGACCCTCTCAAGCCAGCCACAGCAACCCTTCCTCCCTTCACCACCCACCTTCTCTGGCCCTTAGGGTTACCTGGGTTGCCAAGCTTTGTCTGAGATGATCAAGTTTTACCTGGAGGCGGTGATGCCGCAGGCTGAGAACCAAGACCCCGATATCAAGGAGCATGTGAATTCCCTGGGGGAAAAGCTGACAACACTCAGGACCAGACTGCGGCGCTGTGTGAGTAGAAAAGCCCAGTTCTTCCCCTGACTGCTGTCCCCAGAATGTCAACTCCTACAGAGCCACAGGGTCATCCCCCAGAGACACACCAGCATGCAGCCAGGGACATCACTCCATCACTCGGTGGTCAGGCACCCAGATCTCTTGTTCATTTCTCTCTGAGCAGGGGGTGGGGTGGCTGCTAGGCATTTACATGTGAAGATTGGTAAGCAGCTTTCCTGTTATTAGTGACTCATGTGTGGGTTATTAACAACTCTCCTCCAGCTCATGAAAGGGGCCCAGAGCTTCAAGCCGGCTCCCTTGGCCCTTCAGACCTAGACTCTAGGCCTGGTGGGAGGGACACAGAAGGTGAGGCTCTTGGACTGAGCCAGCCCCATTCACCTCTTTTTCTCAATCTTTTTGAGGCTGAGCTCTAAGCAGAGCCAGTGACTGCCAGGATTTTCCCAGATAGTTTACAAAAGCCTAGGGGATATTCAGTGAATCATCCCCCCACCCACCCACCTGGAGATCATTTATGTCTCCAGCTGGCATAAAAACATCTCAGAGTGAACCCTAGAGAAGCACAGTTCATCTGCTGTGGGTAGATCAGCCTCATCTGGTTTTCTTTGTTCCCTCCTTGGTATTGAAACATCCATTGGGCCCCCTTGTGCAGGACAGGGCTTCACCATTGTACCTGTGTTCAGTCTCCTTTCCTTGGGGACTTAGAAGGAAAGGGTCCTCAATGGCTGAGACTGAAGGAGAGTGACAGGACAGAGAGGCAGGAAAGGGGCACGCTGAGGCTGTCCAGCTCAGCACTCTGGCAGACATCGTGGCACTTTGGAGAGGAAGCCCAAAGACCTGGGTTTTATCCAAGCCTTGCAAACGTCTCACAGTGACTCCTAGAGAGACGCAGGTAATCTCCTGTGTTTCTTCTTTGTCCAGTGGATAAAATGAAGTTGGGCTCAGCTTTCCCAAAGAGCTACAGGGAATGGACATTCAGTGTGACCTGCAGCTTGTCCCTTCCCCAAGTGCTGTGGATGCAGGAGCTGAGAGTCAGGGTCATTAACACTCTATTTCATCTCATAGCATCGCTTTCTTCCCTGTGAAAACAAGAGCAAAGCAGTGGAGCAGGTGAAGAATGCCTTTAATAAGGTGAGTGCCAATGGTAGCCAAGAGGGCTTAGAAGCATGACCTCTGTCCACTCCCCAGAGGGTGGGCATGGGGGGGGTGGCAGGTGCTAAGCAGGCCCCTTTCTTCACTCAGAGGGGGTGTGGGAACCTCACACATGGTGTGACCTCCTCAGCAAGTGAGGAGCTGCCATCTAGGTTATATTTGTTTTCTATGAAGTGTCTATGGAGTTTCTAAATGACTGCTCCTTGCCATCACAGGCCTTCAGTCTGGGTTGGCCATCCAACTTGCAAACACAGCAAGCAGGGTGGTGGGGAGAGTGATAGAGGAAACAGAAAGTACAGAAAGTCACTTGTTGGGAAGTGAGGCTGAACCCACACGTGAAGGAAACTGACACATGAATATGCACGTACAAACACCACTGGGGTCTAGAGTGGATGTCCCAAAACTCAGACAGAGCAGGGTTTGCACTCGTAAAGAGGAGTTTCATGCATCCAAATGTCCATGAACCTCTTAAATCCTGTGTCCCAGAAGCTGTGTGAGTTCTGTCCCCTGTCATGGGCTGGGGACTGATGCTGGGTTATGTTCTAATATCAGGAGGCACAAATTCTCTGAGGGCAGGCTAGGACCAGTTCAACAGACACAAGCATTAGAAAAATGAAAAGAGGCACATCCTTTGGTTCCCTTCTCTATTTCTTTCACTGTTTTGCTTTCAAGCTGCTTCCTCTAATGTCTTTTCATCAAATTCTGAATAAGCGTCATATGAAGAGTTGACCTTTAAAATGGTTGAAAAGGCACCATTTTGAAGACCATATTTTGGGAAGTGAATGCTATGCTTGTTACTTACTAGTCATGCTTCAAGTCCAGAGAAGACCAAAAGTCAATGTGCAGTCTTTCCAAAGATAGGCAGAGCTTCAGGTTCCCAGGGTTGTCCCTTTATCTCCCAACACAAGGAAGCAAATGCAGCTTCTGTGCCCCAGGGCCATCTCCAAGAGATGGAGGGATCCACTAACTTAATCAGATGGGATCTAAATACTTCTCTTCTCTCTACACAGCTCCAAGAGAAAGGTGTCTACAAGGCTATGAGTGAATTTGACATCTTCATCTACTACATAGAAATCTACATGACAAAGAAGATGAAAAACTAAAGCATCCTAACCAACAAAAATGCCAAGATAACAACTCTGGCTAGACTCTAGGACGTGAATTAGAGGTCTCCAAACTGGGCTCCAGGGTTGTGGGAGGACCAAAATCAGCTCCATGGAAGACCCTATTGTGCCTCTTCCCTTCCCTACAATATTTATTCCCCCTGATACCTCAACTCCTAGTTCTATTTATTTGCTGAGCTTCTCTGTGAACTATTTAGAAAGAAGCCCAATATTATAATTTCTTTCAATATTTATTATTTTCACCTGTATTTTAAGCTGTTTCCATAGGGTGACCCCCTATGGTATTTGAGTGTTTTATAAAGAAATTGTAAGTTATATAGGTAGAAAAAATATATTCTTTGGGGAGCCAATTGAAGTTTCCGTTCCAAGTGCTACCACATTTTACAGTTGTTGAGCTGTTTTCCCAGACTTTCCTCTCTTTTCTCTCATCCCTGGGCCTTGGGGTCCTGAAGTGTAACAAAGACTTTTAGGAAGGGAAATCAGAGAGTTCCTTTGATGATTAACCTTCCAGTGTCTCATAGGGATTCCCCTAACCCCATTCCCTAACCACTTTATTTTTTAAAGTTGTGGCTGGATTGTTATTTATGACAACCTAAAGTTGGTTCTAATAGAACTCAATTATATCTAGAAGCTTTTCAATTCCTCTGGGAATGTGACATTGTTTGTCTGTCTTCATAACAGATTTTAATTTTGAATAAATAGTTATTTTTTAAATACTATGGTGTTCTATGACTTTTCTCTAATTAAAAATTTTCCCTCCATGCTTCCAAGATAAAAGAAAGAAAGCAAATGAATTCTGCCTTTCAAAGAGAGGGAGTTAACTACTCTCTGGAAGGAGGAAATGTTATTCTTCCAAAAGCCAACAGTAAACACCACCATGGTTTTTCCATGAGCATTTCTATATATCTTTAAGGAGAAAGAAGATCATGCTAATTTTTTGAGACTAAGGATTTGCTTCTGTGTTGCTTATTGTGATGGGGATTGTTGTTAGGTGCCTTTGAGTCAATTCCAACTCATAGTGACGGTGATGTAAAACAAAACAAACACTAGCCTGTCCTGCACCATCCTCAACATCCATCGTTGCTGTGTTTGAGCCCATTATTTCAGTCACTGTGCCAATCCACCACATTGAGGGTCTTCCTCTTTGTCGCTACTCTATCAAGCTTAATGTCTGCTCCAGGGACTGGTCTCTTCTGGTAGGTAGCATGCTCAGAATTACAATAAGATGAAATATCACCATCCTTGCTTATAAGGAACATTCTGGCTGTACTTCTTCCAAGACAGATTTGTTCATTCTTCTGGCAACCCGTGGTGTATTCAATATTCATTACGAAGCACGACAAGTAAAATGCATCCATTTTTCTTTGGTCTATCTTATTCATTGTCTAGCATACGTATGCAAATGAGGTCTTCGAAATTATCAATGAGTTAGATCAGGCACACTTTGGTCCTGAGAGTGACTTTGCTTTTTAACACTTTAAAGAGATCTTTTGCAGCAGATTTGCCCAAAATTTTGTTTGACGGATGCTTCTTGGGTATTGATTGTGGATCCAAGTAAAATGAAATCCTTGATAGTTTATTGGTCCAGCTGTGAGGACTTTTGTTTTCTTTATATTTAGGTGTAATCCATACTGAAGGTTGTAGATTTTTTTGTTGTTATCAGTAAACACTTCAAGTCCTCTTCACTTTCAGCAAGCAAGGTCGTATCATTTGCTTATTGTAGGTTGTTACTGATTCTTTCTCTACATACCAAATTTAGCAAAACATGCAGAGAAAGGCTTTTTATGTTTTTTGCTTCTTCAAGCTCCAAAGATCCAGGGGTGAATATTATTTTGACTGATTCTTACCTGACAGGATTATCATAAGGATTAAGTAAGATAAAGTACTAAACTTGCTCCTGGTTATAGGAGGTGGTCCCACTGCCCAGGGTTGGTTCTTCCTGGTATAGACAAAAGTGCCTAAAAACATCCTTGAACTTTATAAAATCAGAGCCAGAAGGGCTGGAACATAAAGAGTGGGAAACAAACAAATTAACTCACTTGACAGAACACCCAAAGAATCAAGCAGCTGCTGCTCTTTCTGTTCCCTCCCTGAGCCGTTAGACACATGTGATATCAGTTTCAGACTGCGGTCTGTTGGGAGGCCCATGGTGGCTGGGGAAGCCCTACTAAATGTTGGGTGATTTGGATGAGAAAGGGGGAAAGAACGGATGGTGTAAACACTGACCCCTCTCACCCTCTGCCCAGGTCTGGTAGAGAGTGGGAGCTGACTGTGTGGTCAGTTTTTCAGTAAGACCTGACTCACTTCGGTTAAAGTAACCATAGGAAGGAAGTGGGAAGCATCAAAGCTGAAATTCTGAGATGAAAGGTTAGGTTTAAGAACAAAGGCTAGCAGAAGACAAGGAGAGAGAGACTGAAGAGCTCTACATTTAGGTGCTCTCCACTGAATTAAAGAAGATACCCTGAATATATTGGCATGGAAGACATGGTCTACACTGCCAGACAATGCATTATTGTTGTTAAGTGTCATGGAGCTGGTTCCAACTCATAGCGACCCTGTATAGGGCTTTCCAACCACAAGGTCAGCAGTTCAAATCCACCAGCATGGCTGGTGGATTTGAACTGCTGACCTTGTGGTTAGTAATCCAGTGCTCATCCTACAGCACCATAAGCAATGCATGCTAACTTAAATTTGTGGTTGGCACTGGGAAGAGGGCCTCTAAACCAATAAACAGAAACTCACCTGGAGAACCAACTTTTGATAAAATGTTGACAATAGCTACAATTTATAGAGCACTTATTTTAAGCTAGTCAGTGCTGGGTACATTTGGTATCATTGTGAATATGTTATATAATAGGAAACTGGCACTCAGAAATATTAATATGACTTGGCTATAGTAATGTGATATGATGTGATATACGTTAATGGAGAACTGATCATAGCATAAAATACTTTCCCCTTTGGATGAATTATTTATTGCTGCCCCAAATTTCCCAGTTTAACACAACAAACATTCATGACCTTTCCATTTATGTGTATAAGGAATCAGAGAGACTTAGGGTCACTAATGAGGCTGGAGTCAAGATGTCCACCAGGGCTATAATCAATTGAAGCCTTAACTAGGGCTGGAGGATCCATTTCTATACTCGCTCATTCACCAGACTCTTGGTTCAAGACCTCAGTTCTTCACTGACTAATGGTAAGTGGCCTTGTTTCTTTACTACACAGGCCTCCCACAGGGCTTCTTGAATGTACTTACAGCATGGCAATGGGCTTCTCCTATGGCCAGTGGTCACAAGTGAGAGCAAGGAGAAAGATTTCTGTCCTAGTCTCAGAAATCTCACATCATCACTTATGCCACATTCTATTTGCTATAGTTAACTCACTATGTAGAGAGGGATTAGGTGCCATCTTCTGAAGGGAAGAGTAGCAATACATTTGTAAACATATTTTAAAGCCACCACATTCTTCTAAGAATTCCATCAGCAAAAACTTTGTGCTAGAATGGCACCTCAGGCTCCTGGGTTGGTGGACGAAGTGGGAAATTGGGTAGGCATTAATGTGAATAGATAGGTCACCATCAAGGTCGCTTCCTTCCTTCATTCCTCTCTATTTTAGGCCCAGTCCAATACATTCACTTTTCTAAGCCTTAGTTTCTTATCTGGAAAACCAGTACAACTTCTTGATCAGGTATGGAATTTTGGGTATGAAGGCATATGTGTTTTAAGCAAGTCATGTAGAATGTTGTTTTTCCAACAAACTTTATTTTCTAAGAAGAGCAACCACCTCATCTCTTCCCATATCCACTCTGTCCCCTACCACCAGTGTTTGGTTAACCATTGTTGTTGTTAAGTGCCTTCAAGTTGGCTCCATTCATAGAAGGAAACTGTCCACTCCTGCCCCATCCTGACAATTGTTACAATTGAGTCCATTACTGCTGCCACTATGCTAATCCATCTCTTTCAAGTTCTTCCCTTTCTTCACTGACCCTCAACTTTACCACAAATGATGTCCTTCTCCAGGGACTGGTCTCTTCTGATAACATGTCTGAAGTATAAGAGACTTCTTCCAACACAAATTTGTTGAGTCTTCTGGCAGCCCATGGTACTTTCAATGTTCTTTTCCAGTACCATAAATCAAATGCATCAGTTCTTCTATGGTCTTCATTATTCATTATCCAATTTCCACATGTATATGAGGCAATTGAAAATACCATGACTTGGGCCAGGCAAACTTCAATCCTCAAAATGATATCTTTGCTCTTAAACACTTTAAAGAGCTCTTCCAAAACATGCTTGCTCAATGCAATACATCACTTGATTTTTTGACTGCTGCTTCATGAATGTTGACCATGAAGCCAAGCAAAATAAAGTCATCAACACCTTCAATCATTTCTCTATTTATCATGATGTTATTTATTGATCCAGTTGTGAGGATTTTTGTTTTCTTTACATTCAGGTGCAATCATTACTGAAGTTTTCTTTATATTGAGATGCAACCCACACTGAAGACTTAGATCTTCATCAGCAAGTATCTTAAGTTCTTTGCTTCCAGCAGACAAATTTGTATCAGCTGCATATCACAGATAGTTTTATGATCATCATCCAATACTAATGCCACATTCTTCTTCACATAATCTGACTTCTCAGATTATTTGCTCAACATACAATTTGAACAAGTATGGTAGAAGAAAAAAACTTTGGCACACACCTTTCCTTGTTTTAAACTGTTCAGTATCCCCTGGTTCTGTTCCAACTACTGTCTCTTGGTCTATGTACAGCTTCTTCATGAGCATAATCAAGTGATCTGGTATACCCATTCTTCACAATGTTATCCATAGCTTGTCAGTATCCACACAGTCAGAGTCTTTGCATAGTCAATAAAGAAAAGGCAAACATCTTTCTGGTATTCTTTGCTTCAGTCAAGATCCATCTGACATTAGCAATGATATCCCTAGTTTCATATCCTCTTCTGAGTCCAGCTTG